TTTCCAGTTTTGTATTCTTTTTTTTTTTTTGAGACAGGGTCTTCCTCTGTCACCCAGGATGTAGTACAGTGGCACAAACTTGGCTCACTGCAATCTCAGCCTCCTGGAGTCAAGCGATGCTCCCACCTCAGTCTCCTGAGTAGCTGGGACTACAGAGGCGCACCACCATGCCCAACTAAATTTTCACAAGTATTTGTAGCAACAAGGTCTTGCTGTGTTTCCCAGGCTAGTCTCAAACTTCTGGGCCAAGCATTCCTCCCACCTCAGCCTCTGCAAGTGTTGGGATTATAGGCGCTGTCCCTGGCCTATTATATTTTCATGCACAGTTGATGGAACAAAACTTAGAGTTGACGCTAGTAACTTAGTTTTTAACTTTTTGTCTTTATTTTTTCAGTAGAAAATTTAATATTACCTAGCTTTCAGAGTCTTAAAAAATTATCAATTGATATGGGCATATTACTTTTTACTTGTATCTCATATGCTATAATTCTAAAGGTATTGGGAATATTAAATTCATCCCGTTAATTTTTTTCCAGATTGAAGAAGGTATTGTTGTAATGGAAGATGATTCTCCAGTGGAGGCTGTGAGCACACCTAATACTCCCCGAAACCTTGCTGCATGGAAAATTAGCATTCCATATGTAGACTTCTTTGAGGATCCCTCCTCTGAAAGGAAGGAGAAAAAAGAGAGAATTCCTGTGTTTTGTATTGATGTTGAAAGAAATGATAGAAGAGCAGGTAGGAAGCTTTCTGAACACCTTTCTTAAAAGATGCCCATGAATGAGTATTGTTTTCAGGTACAATAAACATTTTGCTACTTAGGTCTAACAAATATAGCTGCATATCCAAAAGAGAGTGTCCAAAACAGAAAATTGAAAGAAGGCTTAGGATGTCCCAGGTTATCTTTGTTAGCAGTTAACTAACTCATTCAATCAACAGTTATTGAGTGAAGCCTGCTAGACACCTGACAGTCCATCAGGCATTTAATGTAATGTTCTTTTAATGGTTTTGTTGCCATCATTAGCCATTATACTTACTTAATTATCATGAATCCATACAGCACTGTATCAGGTATTATATTAGTTTAATTAAGGCAGTATTTTCTCGCACCCATTTTGTGGGCTAATTAGAATTGATGAAAATATGGCCAGGCATGGTGGCTCACTCCTGTAATCCCAGCGCTTTGAGAGGCCAAGGCGGGTGGATTACCTCAGGTCAGGAGTTTGAGACCAGCCTGACCAACATGGTGAAACCCCTTATCTACTAAAAATACAAAAATTAGCCATGCATGGTGGTGTGTGCTGTAGTTCCAGCTTCTCAGGAGGTTGAGGCATGAAGATCACTTGAACCCAGGAGGCGGAGGTTGCAGTGAGCCAAGATCTTGTGACTGCTCTCCAGCCTTGGAGACAGAGTGAAATCCTGTCTCCAGAAAAAGAACTGATGAAAGTATGGTTAAAACTTTACAAGTTTTCTTCATGTTTAGCCATATTTTTTCTTTTGATTATTTCAGGTATAGACTGTAGAAGAGATAAGGGTTAATGTCGTCTGTAGCAGGATAAAGTCACCACTTTCAAGTCCCTACTTGTAACTTCATAAAAAGAAATCGAATTAAAAAATAAAACAGTCACCACTTTGCACTTTGTCCAAGAATTGGGTCAGTCAGTGTAGGGAAAAGCACAAAGTCATGTATATTTTGAGAATGATGAGCAGAAAATGAAGTTGAGCTCAGAAAGAGGGAGTTATGAGGAAAGAAGGAAAAAAGTGACAATGTTAGAAAATGGTTTTGAGAGGATAACTAAGTGGTAGTGTGAAGATCAATGCTAATTATTCTTATTTATTTTTCAAAAAGTATTAGGTTTTCTGATTTTCTTCAAAAGCTGATCCTGTTTCAAGAACATGGGACACAGGAATTGGGAAGGAAGAATGCCCAGAGTAGCTAGTTATAATTTTTCCTATCATAACCAAATACCAGGCAGAGTCTTATTCTGTCCAGGTCTTAGGCCATACTGCCTGATTTTGTTGGAGTTGCTGTTTACTCTTAGTAGTTGGTGTTCTCTCAGCATTCTGACAGGTGGACAGCCAAACCATTGTCAATAATAGAGTCTGATTTCTGTTTCAAACTTAGTTTTGTTTGGAATATACTTTTGGTTTTGCTTTATGACAACTGCCTTTAATTTTTATGCTTTATTTTAAAAGGTTAATAATTTAACATAAATTATAATAATTTATGGCACAGTAACTTAAAAATAAAACCCCCAAAATCTTAAAACTTGTATTTTATTTTTTAATTTAATTTTTTTTCTTTTTGAGGGAGGGTCTTGCTTTGTTGCCTATGCTGGTGTACAGTGGCATGACTGTGGCTCACTACAGCCTCAACTTCTATTGGTTAGTACTGCTCTGTACTATGTTAAATTAGGACAACATGGTAAATATTTGAGAGACCCAAAATCAATAAAAAAAATTTTTGTGAAATACATTATTTTGGTGACATTTAAAAAAAATCATAATTGCATGATATTTTAAAGTTTCTGTCAACTCTGATTCCGTATAGAAAAAGTGTATTTTCTTGAGATAACTTCATAATAGATAAAATTTATTAGTCACTTCTAGGTACCTAAAATACGGGATAAAATTTGTTAATAATGTTATGCCAAAAATAACAAATTATGACTGTGGAATAATTTCCAGTTTTGTATTCTTTTTTTTTTTTTGAGACAGAGTCTCACTCTGTTGCCCAGGCTGGAGTGCAATGATGCAATCTTGGCTCACTGCAACCTCTGCCTCCCAGGTTCAAGCGATTCTCCTGCCTGAGACTCCTGAGTAGCTGGGACTACAAATGCCCGCCACCATGCCAGGCTAATTTGTATATTTTTAGTAAAGGCAGGGTTTCACCATGGTGGCCAGGCTGGTCTCGAATTCCTGACCTCAAATGATCTACCCGCCTCAATCTCCCAAAGTTCTGGAATTATAGGCGCGAGTCACCGTGCCCAGCCAGCTTTGTATTCTTAATGTTTTAAATATGGCATTCTTTTAGGGTGTTAAAATTATTTGTTACTCAGTGTGTGTTTACTCAATTTACAGTTGGACACGAGCCTGAACACTGGTCTGTCTATAGAAGATATCTTGAATTCTATGTGCTTGAATCAAAATTAACAGAATTTCATGGTATGTTATTCTTTTTGGATAAAACATTACATTTCAGCACTACTATTCTTTAAAGCTATGTTACCAGATTAATTTATTTTAAATAATTATACCAAAGAAATACAACAGTGGCACTGTGTACACTTTTATTGATAACAGAAGCAGACTGTTTATCTTTTTATTTTTACTTATCTCTGTATTTAAAGTTCTTGCAAGGTACATTTATGCTTTTTTAATAATAAAATAAAAATTTAAAAATAGCTAATTTAAAACTGTATTTTAGAAAGGGTTTTCTATTTATTCTTTTTTGTTCTTCCTGTCTCTTCAATTTATTTATTTTGGTTAATATCAGGGATATAATTATAAACAATTTCCAGCTTTTTTGTTTGTTTGTAGCTTGGTGAGTTTTACCTGTGTGTTCTAAATCTTTTTATTTTAGAAAAGCTCTGTAGAGTGTCTCCTGATGCAAATTCAGGTTGATTTTGAATTGAGAAGAGTAAGGAACATTCCTTTCCCTGCTATAAGAACAAAGCCTGTGATAAGGATGATTATTATAGGAAAATAAAGGTCCCACTCCATATTTGTGCCTAGATTTTGAGTTTGTATGTGTATTGAAATGTTTTTTTTTTTTTCTCTCTACCAATCTGGTACAGTACCAT